TGTTTCTATGACGTCAGTACTGATCAAGTAACTCAATAAACAGTCAGACTCAGCTTTGAGTCTTTAGAGTTTTCTCTGTCCCTGGCTTCTTCTGAGAACATGTTGATATTAGTCCAGTATTTTACTTTTTCTATAGAGGTATATGTTGAGTAAAATCCATACCAGGAATTAAACCTCATGCTGGGTTTTTTTGTTTGAATTTTTTAGATGTGTATACATATATTCTTTAAAATACACAATAATGTAGTTTAAATCTAAAGAACGACGTTACCTTGTCTGCTGAAAATTCCAGGCGATCTCAGAAAACTTGTCACAACTTAAAAATGCAGAAAAAAAATATTTACAACCAATCAGCTATATTAATTAAGAAATCCAGTGACTATACAAGTCTAGGAGTCTCTAGACGGTTAATGTTTTAATATGTCACATATTTCTTTATTTAACTTTTAATTCAGAAACGTTACCTGCTATTCTGTACTTTAGTTTTGCTGCGTATAATGTAGGTTAAATTGTGTTTGATTAAATACAATCACTTAGTTTTCAAAAAAATTTCAATTGCTATTGGTCACCTTTTTTCATGAGGCGCTCGTTGCTGTTCATTTTCCGCCTTCTTGTCTCTTAAAAAGATGAGAAGAATATTAGCTGCTAAAAAAGTAAAATAGTAACATAATAATGCATAAACAATACAAAGTAGCAGTTATAAGCACATAAAGAATATAATGTAAAGCTCATTTCTGATGTTCCTTATCAAGGGCAACACTTTGTAAGCTAATTTATTTTTTAATTTGTGTATTTCTTGATTTTATAAAATGAAAAACTTTCTTTGGGCCAGGGTCAGATTTGTCAAATATAAAAAGTGTTGTTATAATTTGGGATTTAAGACAACATTATTTTAGATTTCAAATACATTAATAATCAACATATTTAACTGTTAACATTTTAGTTGACATAATAAAATTTTATTTTATCTTTTTTAACTATTCAAGGATTAGAAGTTGTGTTTACCTGGCCTTATCTTGTCTCTTTCCTCCCTTGTCGCTCATTCTTGCTTCGTCCAGAGTGAATTTGTCAGAGAGATACTTGAACTAAGAAGATATGCCTTCCCTGAAGGGGAGTGTTTAAGACTTTCAGTAAGTCCTGCCTACTGACTTTATAAGTGAACAACAAAATCTGCATCACACTCAGTCAGCAGGAGCCGTTCCTACGATGGGAGACTCTTTCATCATAGCTGTAGACTTTGGGACTGCATACAGTGGATATGCCTTCAATATAACATCCAGAGATAAAGAACTTGAGCCTACTGTGAAGTATTGGGGTAAAGAGTACGGAAGAGAAACGCCAAAGACTCCTACCTGCATCCTTTTTGATAAAGATAAACAGTTTATCAGCTTTGGATTTGAAGCTAAAGAAACGTATGTGTCAAGAATGGGAACAGAAGCAAAAGATAACTTATTCTTCGAAAGCTTCAAGATGTCCCTCTATAAACGAGTGAGTAGAACGTTTGTATCTACATTTAATTTACAAGTAAATTAAATAATTTACTAATGTAATAATCCAAATTCTTCAGAAACTCAGCCTGGATATGAAGATTAAAGCCATGAATGGGAAAGAAATGAAAGCTCTGCAGGTTTTTACAGAAGCTCTAAAATTTCTGAAGGAAGATGCTCTGAAATACATCGCTCAACACACTGCAGGGAAACAGTTCACAGCTTCTGACTTCACCTGGGTGCTAACTGTTCCTGCCATCTGGGATAATTCAGCTAAAGAGTTCATGAGAGAAGCTGCAACTCAGGTAACATAAAAAATACTAAGACTTACAACAAAAGGCTTTTGTGGATCTCCTAATGTATAAGACACTTTTGTTGCTTTAAGGCAGGTATTGTGACCAAAGAAAAGGAAGATAAATTGATCATTGCACTGGAACCAGAAGCAGCTTCGGTCTATTGTAAGAAACTTCCATCAGACGGTTTTATTGCAGAAAACCTGGGGAATCTAAAACTGGACCAGTCACCAGGAACTCAGTACATTGTTGTTGATTGTGGCGGTATGACATTTCATTAAAATTTTCAGAAAACGTCTAAACCATACAAAAACATTTAAGAAGTTTTTTTTAGATTTATATATATGTTTAGTTTCCTTAGCAATAAAGGATTGTCTCTTGTTTTTTTTTGTAGGTGGAACCATTGACATCACTGTTCATGAAGTCCTGGAAGGAGGGAATCTGAAAGAGCTAAACAAAGCCTCTGGAAATGATCTGGGAGGACAAACTGTGGACAGAAAGTTTAAAGAGTTCCTCCAAGAAATATTCACTGGAGTCTGGCATGATTATGAAAAGAAATTCCCCAGTGAGGTTCAGAAAATTATGTATGACTTCACACTTTTCAAAAGACACGAAGATGATGTAGAAATTCCCTGCCCATTTAACCTGGGGAGAATGGCTGAGAAAAAGAAAAAAATTGAGAAGTATTTTAAGAAAGTGCAAGGGGCAACCTGGGATGAGGGAGTCATCAAAATCTCTAAAGAGAAACTGAGAGAATTCTTTGAAGAGAGTCTACAGGGAATAACTCAAAGCATAACAGAAGTTTTCCAAAAACAATTCAAAATTAAGTACATCCTGTTAGTCGGTGGATATGCTGACAGTGAGATTCTACCTAACCACATTACTGACGCGTTTATAGATGACTGTAAAATTCTGTGCCCATTCAAGCCACAAGAAGCTATAGTGAAGGGAGCTGTGGAGTTTGGAAGAAACAAGGGAGTGGTGGCATCTAGAAAAAATCCCTTCACTTATGGACTTGGTATCTCTCAGAGGTTTGATAAGTTCAGGCACAGGGATGACAAAAAATACACCAACAAAGATGGTGTTTGGTGTAGAGACATATTTATGAAGCTGGTGGATGTTGGTGAGGATGTTCGTTGGAATGAAACCAGAGAGCACATCTTATACCCGGTAGAAGCAGCTGAGAAAGCAATGAGCTTTTCGTTTTATCGCACAAAGAAAAAACATGTAACATATATTGATGAATCAGACACTGAGGAAATTGGCTCGCTTGTTGTTGAGTCTCCTGACACTACATTTGGTTTGGATCGTGAGATCAGACTTAAAATAAAGTTTGGCTTCACAGAAATGACAGCAACAGGCACTGACAGAGAATCAGGCTCAACACAAACGATAAAGTTAAACTTCATGAGGAAGTAACAGAAAAGACACATCTTTGTTGACTTTTTTTCCAAATAGAAATGAGAATGAAACCTACAGAAAGAGACTTAAAGAAGGTTTAAATCTTCAGCATGGTTAAAAAGACAGTGTTGGAGGTTGCTAGCTGTGAAACATTACGGACTACCTTACTATGATTTATTTTAACAGTTCCATAAAATGTCATTTTTTAAACTAATTGCACATGTCACAAGGTAGATCGTTGTTGGGCAGCTATAATCAATTTGCCATGTTACACAGAAAAAAGTTTTATGATAAAGACCAACTTGTAACGTAATTGTGATTTTATTACATGCAGATTAAACATTACAGATTGTTCTAACAAAATTTACATTTTAAAGTTTTGAGAACCAGCTATGATTGTGGCTCACTGAAGAATCTGGACTGTGTCCAGTTGGGTTTTGTTTATTTTATCTGCAGTTTATATTTTAAGAATAGCATGTTTTAAATAAAGAAACACAACAAAATATGTCCGCAACATAAATTGTGTAGCAAAAGAGCACAAATTACCTCACTCATGGATATTTCATTTGCTTTTTTTGTAACTCTTTTTTTTGTAAAATTGCTGTAGTGAATACATTATTTGTTTTGTTTTGTAACTAAAATGTTGATGGATTTGTCTTCAATAAAATGTTAAGAATTTATGTTGTGTATTTTTCCATTATTGGACATTATTGGACACTGCACTGGCACCCTCCCCTCAGCATCAGTTATAGTTTGTGTAGGCCATAGACTCCATAAAAACAAATAAATGTTGAACAGTACAGATGAAACACATTGGTTCTTCTTCAATCATAGAATAGTTTATCTGGCATGTGATAAACGTTGTGAATTTTGAAGGTAATTTTTTGTTATGCTGCAGCAGGACACCACCTTTACCAACCTCACTCTCCATCTTGGTTTGTGATAGCATTTACTTTTCTGTAATGTGGACTAAGCAACAATGTTTTACCTATTTTTTTTTCCACTGAGTCCAAATTACTGCATCGCCTTGAGCTTCTACCTGATCCAGTTAAGACTGCTCCTTGTCCTGATTTATACAGCGTTCCCTCAGTCAGTAATGATCCGGCTCTTTCTCATTCCCCACACATCTATGATTCTGCAGTCAACCTTCTTACTGTTGCTCTTCATCCATCTGGGTAACTATACAATCTTTCACTTCCAAGATGAAAGGCCATCTTACACATGTGGACATCATTGTTAGTACTCAGATTAAAAGATTTAATTTAAAGTTTCAAGATAATCTTTAAAAATTATCAGTAGCAAGGGTCTTCGGATTTCCAAGGTCTCTAACTGATGTTGCCCTCTTTGATCTTTTTTCTATTATCTTTAAAAGCAGCACTTTTGTTGACTGGAGATGTTATAGGAATGCACATAGTTACAGTTAAGTTGCCACATTGACACTTTCCCTTCCACTTTATCCTGTAACTCACCAAATGAGCTGGTATGCAGTAAGTGTTAATACAATGTGGCTCATTGATCCCATATAGACAAAGGTTGTGTCTGGTAAGAAGAAATCTCCTCTTAGTAAGATGTGATAAAAAGGGAGTGTTAAAAAGCTGACAAGATGGCCAAAGTTTGAACTCCAAGTTCCCTGTGACGTCTGTAAAAGATGTTTTTACAGGTACGACACACAACTGAAGAAACCAGAGAAATCCTTGTGCTTCATTTGCCACAGCTGACAAATGAACAAACCCTCCTGTGTCAAAACTCCACTCTACCAGAAACTGCAATGAAGATGTCAGTAAATGTGAAGGCTGGTCAATGCATTAATATCAAGTCAATACCATTAAACATGATAAAGGAGTAACTGGAGAACTGGGTGAGATTTTCTGGTCCACTATTTTACTGGTTTGAGTCTTACTTAAAGATTAGGTTTTAATAGCCTTATTGTCTTCCTTTAGTCATATAATATCTAAAAATACCTCCCTGAAGAAAGTTCCCAACATAAAAACTAGAGTAACTGTTCCTTCCTTCAAATCATAAAGTGATTGCTTACAGTTATTCCTGGTTTAACCTTTGTACCACAAAAGTGTCATGTAGCTGCACTGAAGATGAAAATAAAAGATTTATACAGAAAACCGGTGATAGAAGTAATCATTTCCCAGCAGACTCATTTCTCAGAATATAAATGTGAATCTTTAACGTAGATTGATGAAACACTGATAAGGATAATCACATGATAGATTATTCCAGTAAATGCAATTAAACTCTGTTGAGAACTCTAACCTGTGTAGTTAGATTGTCTGTTTAATTTTGGCTTTGTATTAAACATTATTTACACACACTGACAGACATACCAAGCAGTATTTTACAAAATGTTTATGACAACAGAACTGTTACACATTTAAAAGTGTATACCTTTACATTAAGATAACACAGTTCTTTATTCATCCCATTTCAAATATCATGTGTGATCCACAAAACTTACACATCCACGTGATCTAACTGATCAAAATACAAACAATAAAAAGACAGTTTGATGATCATGGTGCAAAAAGTCTCTTGTTGAGAATCACAAGAATCTACAGGCTGGAAGGAGTTTTGACAAATAAACTAAAGATTTGAGTAAAAGATTTAGATAACCTAGTGCTGTTATCTAAGAGGAATATGATGCAGACAATGGATGAATGAATTTAAATTGTACTGAACTGTATTCATTTGAACTGAACAACATAAAGTTTGCCTATCAGTATTTTTGTCATCTCCTAGGATTAGGGTTAGTAGCCTTTATGTTGTAAGGTGTTTCACTGGCTTAGCATTAGCTTAAGCTCTTCTGTGGCCATCCTGTTGTTTCTCTGTCTCTGCCTTAATCTCCTCCTTTTTCCTGCTTTGTGTATCAGATGATTAGTTGCTCATCTGCCTCCTTTAGTGATAATGGTATCTGCAATAAATGTAATGTTTCTGTAGTTTTGGAAATGCTGTTGAAAAACCAGCAGATAGTCGAGGCCCCGAGGGCCAGAACAGGAGACATCAAATCCCACCTGAAACTTTTGGTTAAGCGTGAACAATTGACACATGGACCCTTTCTCCAGTGACACTGTTTTGAATTTAAGCAGGTTTGACCTTTTAAACAAAATATGGGAACTTTAGTTTTTTTGTTTTTTTTTCTTTCAGCCTCTTGTCTCTTTTTTATCAGCATAATAATTTTCAGAGTACCAGAGGATCCCAGATCCTCGTCTGTCAGTAATTGTCCTGTTAATCACCAAAACCTATAAAGGATAACCTGAAGTGAAATTATGGAGTTAAAAACTGGAACGTATCACATTGCAGCAGTCAAAAAAGTTTGCGTCATATAAAAATAAAATAATAAAACAACAACAAAAAATGTAATAAAGTGTAACAAATATGATTTCCCGGCAGGCTTTACATAATAAACTGAACATAAAAGGGAGCAAAATCTAAAGATCATCCCAACATTTTGCTAACTGGTAATGCATGTGACAATGGCAGTCTGCATTGTGCCACAGTGTTTAACATTTGATAGGAACATACAGTAATATTTGCAACTCTTTATTGAATATAGTTTTTACAAATACTGGTAATCCATATTTTTTTGTTTGTTTGTTTTTAGCTTTTCTGGGATCAGGACAGAGGAATTACAATTTTTGAAAGGAAAGTCAGACCTTTCTTCATCTTGTGACTCTCCAATTCACTCTAGGGGATGACAAAAATACTGACAGGCAAACTTTATGTTGTTCAGTTCAAATGAATTCAGTTCAGTACAATTTAAATTCATCCATCCATTGTCTGCATCATATTCCTCTTGTAGGGCTGATAAGATTTCACATAATCCATCATGGTATCTACTTAGCATAAGAAATAAGAATAAATTAGAGTATGTTTTTCAGTTGTATATTCAGGAATTATGTGTCCATCCAAGGATACAAATGTTTCAGAAACTTGGTAATTTCTGAAAAATGAACTGCAGTAACTACTAATGTCCAGCAGATGGCAGAACAGCAGCGTTAAAACGCCGATATCACAGTGTGAAACGTCTTTAACATGTTTGGGATTTTATTTTACCAGCTCCATCATCAACTTGATGTTTTCCTGCTTCAGTTGTTTTCTATCTGAAGATAAAATACCTGAATCACTATGCTGAACAGCTTTAATACATACATATTGTAATCAGAATTAATGTCACTGCAATCTGGAATAAACAGAACTAAAGCCTGAAATAAGCCTGAATGACCTTTAAATAAAACTTGATTTAAGTCTGGATTAAATAAGGCAGATCTCTCATATAAATATGACAAATTTTATAAATAAAATACACAGAATCTGAAAGAAACTGAAGTGAAAGCTGAAGTAAATCTAAAGTAAATGACAGATTTTTCAATGAAACCTGACTGAAGACAGTGAATTTTAACACAAAGCCTCCAGAAGGAACAGCAGAATCCTATGGAAGAGAAAAGTGTAATCTGAAATGTGGATGAATCATGAATCTGTTAGATTTATTTATTAGGAAATCTACTAAACAATAATAAATTGTGGCATAAAAGTATAACCTGGAAAGTACATGATTAAAGGTTTCTGGCAAATAATAGGACCAAAGACTATTTAAACTTAATTTTAGAATAATTATGTAATTAAGAAAGAAATCTATTGTTTTCATCTCTTGATTTTATCAACGATCTCTTCTGAAAGGTTCTGATTGTTTAAATGTGACAAAAGAAAATAACATTTAAATAGTTTCTGTCTGGTTGTGAACACTCCTTATCCCACTGGCAGAAACTGTTTCTGCTGATGAAAGAGGAGGAGAAGGAAGAGGACTGGTCTCTGAAATGAGCTTTCATAGTTTCTAACGAAGCTGGGAGGACGAATGAAAGCTCCCTGAGAGTCAGAGTCCAACTTATCATCACTACAGAGATGGTCGGAGTATTTTCTCTTTCTTCTGGAAACTGATGAGTTTCTGGTTTAGGAGCAGCAGGAGTCAACATGAACATTTTAACTGTGAGTGAAAAATTCAAGACAGCCTGGTTTGGGTCAGACTCAACTGTTTCTGCTGTTTCTGGGTTGTTACCAACAAGCTTGGCAGGTATATGATTCTGTCAATACGTTAGCAGCTAGCAGAGACAATAACAAA